TCCTGCACATGACAAAGGAGGCACACAAGGTGGAACAGAATGCCATTTCTGCACGAAAGCTGATTAATCAAAAGGAACAACAGATGGATATTCAGAATAAAACAAACTTGCATTATTTAAATCTCTTGTTAACAATTTTGTTTCCAGTACCTTGTGAACCTCCTACTGATTCTCAAATTAAAAGTTCAAAGTATCAAAGGTAATGTATGCGCTCATTACAGGAAAGCAGGAAAAAAATCATCTTAAGTGGAAGAGATCCAGAAATCCATGACAGAAATCCATGGCATTTACTGACCTACAGTATGGTAACAACTTACGTTCTGTTATAATTAGGAAAATAAATCTACAGGGCAAAGAAATGGCTTGTGGCCAAAGATTGTCCCATATTCTCATATATTGTAGATCTAAAACATACCTAGATCTTAATTAAAGTTTAAACACATTACACAAAGACATAGGTTGTATATGAATTAATTACATTAAAAAAATGATCCAACAGTACATATCCTAGTGTGAATAAGGATATAAATTCAGTGAGCGAATGGCAACTCGTTCAATAGCAATAATTTAATCTAGAAGTTTCATGGGACTGTTATCTGGCCCACACTCTTGGTACAAAAGTTTAGAGGAAATTTTTGTTTCACTTAGCTACTAAACTACTATACAAGCGGCCTCCCTCTGTCTGCAAACTTTCTTAGTTCTTCGTATAAGGCACTTGGCTGAATCTAGATGTGCTGTTACATTGCCTACCTCTGTCTGGGAGGGCTGCTGCTCACTCTGGGCTGCTCTGTGGGTCAGGAGCTGTGTCTTGGGGAGGATGTCCAGCAGAGGTCTGCCCTGTCCAAGTGGAAACTGCTGTAGTAGAGCCTAGGGGAGACAGATGGGATGTAAAGCATTGTGAAACCACACAACATTTTTTATAGCACAACTATATATATGTGTTAAATGGGCCTCATGGTGGCACAATGGTTAGCATTGCTGCCTTGCAGTCCTGGGACCCTGGGCAAAATTCCTAGGGTCCTGTCTGCGTGGAGTTTGCATGTTCTCCGCATGTTCAAGTGGGTTTTCTACAGGTGCTCTGGTTTCCTCCCCCAGTCCAAACACACACTGGTAGGTTAATGGGCTTCTGCAAAACTGGTCCTGGTGTGAGTGCATGCATGTGCATCTGTGTCTGTGTGTAGCCTGTGATGGACAGGCGTCCCATCCGAGGTGTATCCTGCCGTTCTGCAGTGGGCTCCAGCTGAGCCGTGCCCCTGTACTGGAGGAAGCAGTAAGAAAATGGATAGACGGACACATGCAAATGCAGCAACTGTGCCACACGCCCAGCACTTTCACATTCTGATGCACGTCAGAGCCTTACGCTACAGTTCTCAGCAGTGGCAGTGTCTCACCTGCGTGTGCCTGTGGTCCTCCTCCAGGAACTGGGCCCTGGCTGAGTCCAGCCGCAGCCTGTGTGCCCTCCACAGGGCCCGCCGCTCCCGCCGCGCGGCCTCCTCCGACAGCCGGCTGTACTGCTCCACCAGCTCCTTCCTGCACACGGGCACACACACAGAGTCTCACCAGCTGCTCGACTCCCGCAGAGAAGCCGTGGGCTTTTGTTTCAGACACTGACCCAAGCGCAGTCAACAGAGACCCACAGGTCCACAGACCCCCCCCTGGACCCCTGACCCACCGGCCCACGGAGCATCACCGCAGCCCCGATGGCAGGGGAAGACCCTCGAGGTGAGAGCAATGCCCCCGCGGCCCTCACCTGGCCTGGCGCTCCAGCTGCTCCTCCAGGGCCTGCAGCCTACGCTCACGGTCCCTCAGCTCCCGGGCGAACCCAAAATCGTCCTCCTGCTCCCGTCTGCGCGCCTCGCTGCGCCACTGCCAGCAGAGAGCAGGGGAGTAAGGGGCCAACGACGGAGAAACTGGACACTGCCAAGCAAACCCCCACACCGCAGCTGACCAGAACAGAGCAGTCTCCTTAACCCATTTCCTGGTCGTATTGTACAATCGCAGCGCTTGATATTTTTCGAATTGATCCATTGAGCCACTTATCCGTCTCCCCCACACTGTGCAGCTCGCCACCCGAGCTGCAGAGCCTCCTCTCCCCTCTCCCCTCTCCCCCCCGCACCTCCCGGTCCTGCTCCAGCTGCTGCTTCATCTCCTCGAATCGCTCCCTCTTCCTCGCCTCTTCCGCCAGCCGCCGGGACACCTGCCGCCCTGCGCGGAGAAAGGGGGGGGAGGGATTACGAGAAGCAGGGAGGACGGATGTCTCAGGCGCAGCTGGGAG